GCTGAGGAATTTAAATCGCATTTTAGGTATGGCTGACCATTGTTTAAAGAAACATTGTAGTATCATAAAAATTTTCAGTTTAAAGTAATTGTTAATATTTACATTCTGAAATTTCAAATTTCCTTTATTTACAGATTGTGGCCTACAACTTTTGAATTTCTATTGGAATTAATAGGACCTACGTTAAGCGCCACTAAATCAATTAGTGGCAGAAAACCTTTGGCAGCGCAAAAACAACTTCTAATAGCTTTGTGGATGATGGCAACACCAGACTCCTACAGGTATAGTAACATCTTAATTATTTGTCAAAACTATAAGCTTTTTTATTTGCTTGTCTCTGGCTTATAGGTCTGTGTGTGTAAAATTTAATATAGGAAAGGCTACAGCAATTCGTACTATGAGAAAAGTTACTTATGCTTTGCACATTCTCGCTCCGCGATTTATTCAGTGGCCTCAAGGTGAAAGAGCAAATAAAGTGATGGAAGAATTTGAAAAAGTTAGTGCATTTCCTAAGATTATAGGAGCCATCGATGGCACTCACATTCGCATAAAAGCTCCACTGGAAGATAAACAATCATATGTGAACCGCAAAGGATATCATTCAATCCATGTGCAAGTAAGAATTTTAAAAATGTCTTTAAGTGATTGGAAGTTCTTATCGTTTAATAATTTGTATTTCACTTTTTTAGGCAGTTTGCACCTCAAAATTGCTTTTTACAAGTGTTTTAGCTGGGAATGTTGGATCAGTGCATGATGCACGTGTTTTTCGGCTCTCTCCTGTCAGACAATATATTACAAATCCACAAATTTATTTTCGTAATGATTCACACATTATTGGAGATGTTGCCTATGGTGTTCATCCTCATATCATGGTGCCTTTTAAAGATAATGGGCATTTAACAGTTAGACAGAAAAATTTTAATTTTTGTTTGTCTTCAGCGAGAATGGCAATTGAGAGAACATTTGGGTTGTGGAAAGGACGATGGAGAAGCATTCTTGATTGTTTGCCTATGATCACCTTAGAAAAAATTCCTGAATACTTATTAGCTACTTGTGTACTACATAATATTTGTATATTAAAAGGAGATTTGATAGATTTTGAGCAAACACATGAAGAAGATGAATCCAGTGAAGCATTAATATCTGATAGAATGGAGGACGGCAATACTAAACGACAAAGAATTATGAATAGTTTGATAATGAGATACCATTGATATTTTCAATCTTATTTAATGTTTCATTGATTGATTAATTAATGTTTTAGTGATAGTTATTTCATTATTTTTGCAGCAAATTATATGATGATTATATGATATGATTAATATTTTTATTGCAAATTATTTTTATCAAATTTATTTTTGTGAGCGCGTATGTTTAAGATTGAATAGAAATAACCTTATTATTTGCTATAGATTGTATTAAATATTATATAGATAAATGTCTTATACCAATTTTTGTGTATTTTAGTAATACAAATCTAAATTTTTATTAATTATCGCTTATTAGAATGATAAAAATAAATCAAATTTTAATATTGTAAACAATATTTATTTTCTACACTAATTTATAAAATATAATATCACATTGGTAGAAGAATAAATATCATAGCTTATTATTATTTAACTAGAAGCTGAAAATAATAGTGATGTATCTATATAAACTTAAATAGTTATACATTAAATAAAAAAATATTTATCTTATTTTCACAAAAAAAAATTGATTTCACATATTACGCCCATATTGACATTTTCTAAGTTTAAAATGAGCTTTAATATAAAAATTAAAAAACATAAAATTATATTATTAATACAGTATCACTAAAATAAAACAAGTGATGAGATTAATAAGAATAACTGTAATATATTATTCCAAAGAATGCTCATCAGGATAGGCAAATCTTTAAGCTATTAATTCCAAAGCTAACTTTAACTTTTATATTTAAAAAAATAATATTTAATTTATTAATTAATAGTCAATTCATAGACTAGAAAATCTTCAGTTATAATTAGACAAACTATTATGTATGCAAATAATAAAATGAAAAAGATAATAGATATTCAAGTAAACAATTTTTCTTAAGCTCTATAAGACTACCAAAATTACTACATTGCAGGTACAGAGAGTATCCATGAAAAATAAAAATAATAGAACTCTTGGAAATAAAAACTACACAAATCGCATTAAAATACTAAAGAAAACAGTTGTCCAATTATTTCTTGGTGATAGCTTCAAACAACTTCTGCATTATTTTAATTTTTTCCTGATGCTGTCTTTCTCGTTGATCTTTTAAGTCCTGAAACAATGCTTCTTTGGCTTGCCTTTTTTCTCCCTTTCTGCTCTTTCTTCTTTCATATCTAAGATAAAGTTGTTTATAATAGTCTCAATCTTCCGTTTATTGGATTTCCCTTCATTATTTTTACAATTTTTTGAAGAAGATTCCAGTAGGATTGCTTCTTCATTCGATGTAGATGGTCCAGCTTCAGTGGCAATAGCTTTGGGATTTGCCCATCCTGATTTCCCAAAAATTTCGTGCATTCTCTGGAAGAAAACAGAAATATTTTTCAATAAGTTTTAGTCTAATATGATTGAGAAGTATGAAATTTATAATATATTTATTTACTTTTCATATAAATACTTACTTGAAAATATGGCCATGTTTTTCTGTCATTTCCTGATACTGAATTATAATCCAATATTTTTTTGTATGTCTTTTTCAAACCATTTAATTTTGATTGGCATTGTGGTCCAGTCATTGTATATTCAATATTTGTTTTCCTCATATTATCAGCAATGGCTTCCCAAATTTTATTATGACGTTTTGTGCCTGCTGAAAATTCTTCTTTCCATTCCTCATATTTATCGAGCAGTAGATATACGCACTTGGATGACCATATAAACAATGATTTATCATTTTCTGGAATTATATAAAAATTTTTATGTATAAAGAAGACTTGGAATGAATATAAGAATCATATTGTAGGGGAGCCATTATATTCTTTAGTCATACTCACTTTGATCTTTAGGATTATTATCAAATTCTTGTGGCTCTGGAGATGAAACGTAAGATGCACTGCTTGCAGTTCTTACAGAATCAGTCTCATCGTTTTCATCAATCGAAATTTGACTTTCTTGACTGATAACATTTTCGTTTCTTTTTCTATAAATATTCTTAATAAGACTTGTCATATAATTCAGATCTGGTAATACAAAAAAAAGTTCCTTCTCATCAGCATTAATCAACATAAATCATAGTCATTGACATCAAGCATCAATTATTTGATGTCAATGATCAGAGCTAATTAGTATTAGTAATAGCTATTAGTAGAGCTAATTATCCATACAGCACGAATATCGAAAAGTAGACATCCCGAAGATATCTTTGAGATATGATATCTTCTAAAGGGTTAAGTATATTTTATTATTAAAATACAAAAATTTATTTGTTTCCTTACCTTTAGTAGCCTTTGCAGCATCTTGTGGCGAAAGTTTTAAGGTCACAGTTTCACCTGTATCTTCTATAAAGACAGGGACGGAGATTAACTGATTTGACATTGTTTCTAACGCGACGACTAATAAATAAATTAATGTGTAGCACGTGTAGCATGTCTGACGTCACACAACCATAATCAGCCATGATGCTCACAGTGCCTCACCTTTCAACTAGGGGCACCGTGAGCACTGTGCGTCGTACAATAAAACTATGACGTGCTATGATGTCATTATGTCCACGAAGGCACTGCGAGCGTGAATTGGACCGATCGTTAGTGTACTGATAGCGCTGTGAACGTGAATCGGACCGCGGCCCTAGCGTGCTTGAAATGCTTCAGCCGGAGAAGTAGTATGCCTGAAGTGAAATTTTGAATACTTAACAACGCGGGAAGACCAATCGAGAAAAGTGCCAATGGTGACAGTGTTCTTAGATTTGCTATTATTTTGTTATTAATAAATCAATTGAAATTAATATTAAAGCAAAATGACGAGCATACAATTATTAGATATTAATACTGGAATTGTTCACACATTACAAGTTTCCGAAGAAGATGCACAAAAGGCTAATGAAGGTAAAATATATAACATAACCTATATGAGTATAATTGAAAGAGTAAAGAGAAGATTTATAACTTGATATATATCTTTTTAAATCGATTTGTTGTTTGCAACTCAACTTTTAAATAGCCATAAAACATCATTGACTCAGCCAGTTGCCAAACCAGGTAATATTTTATGTATTGTAAATTTTGAAATAGATATTTATGTTACAAATTAACATTAATAATATAAGCTTAGCACTTTTTTTATAATTTTAAATAGAAAAATGTTTAATAAATAATTTATTTTATTAATAGGATCTTCAAATCATGACTCAAGTTATATTACACAGATGGATATACAGGAGTCATCAGTGGAAGAATCTTCAACCTCTTCTGAAGAAAAAGGTATAACATATTATTACTATGTTTTTACAAAAAGAGAAAAGTTTACTTTAAAACTACAAGAAGATAAAAATATAGTTAACATAATGTGTTGTTTTGTAGGTGTTTTTCATTGGCCACATGAGGCAATTCTTTTACTTCTTACATTATATGCAAAGCATGAGCACCCAAATTAAAAGTGGAAAAATATCAATGAAAAAGATTTGGAATATTATTGCTTCTGAATTAAATAAAAAAGGTTATGATGTCACAGATCTGCAATGTAAAAGTAAAATGGCAGGCATGAAAAATACTTACAAGAGTATAAAAGATCACAATGCAAAAAGTGGCAATAATAATAGAAAATGGCAATATTTTAGTGTAAGTATATAATAAATTTATTTAATATGATGTATACTTGTGTTTTTAGTAAATGTATTATATTTTAGTGAAACATATTGTATAACTATTTATGTAATATATATAGTTATGTAATATATGTCTTTTTATGTGATATATATAATTTTTCTGGCATATTGTAGATTATGGATGAACAATTTAATGATAAACCTTGGGTAGCTCCAGTACTTACACTGGACAGCAATAATCCATCTCCACTGAAATCAGAAATTATTAACATTCATTTATTAACATTAACATTAACATCTGAAAAAAGAAGTTCCTCAGATAAGTTTCAGATACCTTCTAAACGTAAGTATCACAATTACTATATTCAATAAAATGTAGTATAATAAATTTAAATAAACATGATTCTGAAACCGTGTGAGCTTCGGCGGACGCGGAGTAGCTCGCCGGAATCCAGGTTCGGTCGGTTGGGGATATGTCAATAAAATAAATGCTCGTTTATAACAAAGTAAAGAAACAACGTTTATTAATTAAGATGGTGAAATGACTTGCTTCAAATGATCTGCTTCAATGCTCGTGTGTACATGCGAAGCGTGTGCGAAGCGAATTCGAAAGAATATACAAGTAGCGTGAGATAAATGGCAAAGTATCGGTGTGATCGGTAAAATAACAACGGTGAAATAATTATTCAACAACGGTGAAATAATTCTTTAAAGCGGCGTGAAATAATCGTAAAAGTATCGGTGAGATTGGTATAAGCAACGGTGAAATAATTAATAAGCAACAGCGAAATAGTTATTAAAGCGGCGTGAAATAAATACAAAGCAGCGTGAAATAAATCTGAAGTATCGGCAATAGTGAAATAATTATTTAGGCGAACGGTAAAATAATTATTTAAAGAGGCGTGGAATAAATACAAAAAAAACGACGGTGAAATAAATATGAAGGCGACGGTGAAATAATTATTTAAAGCAACGGTGACTGAATTATTAAAGTTCGACGTGAGGCGTCTTGGTGCGAGCAGCGAGAGCGCAAGCGCGGATGATCGTGTCGTAGCGGTTGGTACAACGCAACGCTCGTCGGTGAGTGCGTTCGTGACGGTACCGCGAGTCCGTTCGATCGTAGATCGTGACGGGTCGCTCGACGGCGCGGATTGGTCGACGTAGTTGCCCGCCGGATGGATCCCGGTGCGCGGTAACGCGAGATTAGGAACAGGACGTCGAGTACGCTCGACGGGAGTACGAGAACGCTCGCACTAGAGGCTTTGAGGCCGAAACTGGTCGGCGGACGTACGAGAACGCTCGTACGAAGGCGCATTTAGAGCGGCGATTCGACTAAGTATAAGGAAATGCCCTGTATACGAAGATCGATGCCCGGAGGAACCGAGTACGCTCGACGGGTATACGAGAACGCTCGTATCGGAGATAGAAACGGTACCGAGGACGCTCGTGTACCTGGAATAAGGCATAGAATCCGAGTACGCTCGGTCAGACTACGAGAACGCTCGCAGCAGGATTGTTCGCTGGCTAGCAGCAAACAGGATCTGGGGAGAAGACGTACAGCCGGGCCTTTTTTATACCCGGCTGGCAGCCGACTGGCTTCGAATCGGCAAACATCGGCGGTTTCGGCGGCGAGCCCCCACAAAACGGAAATTCGGAACGGTCGGGAGTGGGGGGTTTTCGGCGATTGACCGCCGTTGTTATCGAACAAAAGCTTTATCGGCGCTCAATGCACCACAATGCACCCTTGGTGGGCTACGGACGATGGACGGTCCGTAGCCGTAACGATGCAGCTTGCGGGCTGCACCGTTACAATTCTAATAATTATAGTATATAATTTATATATTTTTGTCTTACGAGTATATAATGTTATTTCCGTAAGGGAATTAGTATTCTGTTACAATAAATATTGCACGTACATAATTACAGGTATTAAGCAGTTTGCCTTGTTGAAAAAAGTAATCACTGTGATAGAAGAAAATATTACTCAGCGTCAAAAAATGCACGAAGAAGCAATGGCTCGGCAAGATAAATTGCTTAACATTCTTGAAAAGATGATTACTAAATAATATGAGAAGAGAAATCGTATTAAATACCAAAGCACCTAATATTAAAAATATTTCTTGTTTTCTTCAGATTTAAGATTGTTACAAAGTAATTTTTGTTAAACCACACGTATATAGATTGGCATAACTTAATCATATAAAATTATTATTTTAAAGCCTATATTTTTATAAGAAGCTCTAAAATGATATTATTTCATGTGTTCAGAGTATTATGTTGTTTTGTATTTTTATTATCAGACTGAAATTTTATTTTATTATAATTTATATAGGTTTATACGTGTGCATAAATAAAAAGTTTTATATTTATAATTTCATATAATAATTTTTATTTCATAGGTCAGTCTTTTTAATAAATGTGATATAATGTGATATGAAATAAAATACTCATATTCATATTAAAATATATAAAAAATATTATAAAGTTATATTTAAATAAACATATTAATAATATATTTTTCAAGTGCGTCTTATTTGTAAATTAGCACATATGTTATTCCGTTTTATTTCTGCAATATTTCTATTATTACATTCGAATCTTTGTAATAATTCTGTTTCTTGAACTTCTTCAACAATGATGCCATCTTGAAATTCCAGTCCATCCTTTTTTAGTAGACAAAAATTGTGCAGTACACAACATGCTAATATATGGTAAGGTATAATTTCGATGTCATTCATTGCCAATAATTGTAAAAGACTTCTCCAGCGGCATTTTAAAAGAGCAAATGCTCGTTCAATCACCATTCTACTTGAAGAATGACAATAATTATAATTTTTTGGACGTTGTGTCAAATGTCCATTATCAGTATATGGAGTTAAAAGATGCTGATGCAGTCTGTAAGCAGCATCTCCAATCAAATGTGTATTGTCAGGAAACTTTCCTGCATTATTGATATATTCTTCAATAGGTGATAAGCGGAATAGACGAGCATCATGGACCGAACCTACATTTCCAACATAAATATGTGTGAACAGCCTTCTGTGATTACAAACAGCCTGCAAAGATTAAACAGTTCAATCACATATTCATATTCATTATCAAATTTTATCAGTAGTAAATTATATCAAAATTGTATCAGTAGTAAAGTATAATACACATAATAATAGACAAACTAATCATACTAATACTTAAAAATATTATTTAAACATTACCTGAAGTTGAATTGAATGACGACCTTTTCTATTTACATAGGCCTCTGCATTTTCCTTCGGTGCAGGAATGTTAATGTGAGTGCCGTCTATGGCTCCAATTGTATTAGGAAAATTACTTATACTGGAGAAACCAAACACTAATTTCTTCAATGTTATTCCCTGTGGGCCATACTATGTATTGTGACGAAAGCTTGCATAATGCTGCACTAACACGACGCACAGCTCTTATAGCGGTGGCATGACCAACATTAAATCGTTGGATTATAGATCTAAAACAAAATTTTTTTATTATAGCTACAATACGAATTAATATTATTCATAGTTAATTGTATAATGAAATTAACTGTCATATTTATGAATTTATATCTATATCTATATGAATCTGGAGTCGCAAAACGCCATAAGCTCAATAGAAGCTGCTTTTCTGCAGGTATCATTTCATTCCTTTCAATACTGCGAATAAGTTTCTTTCCAATTTTTCTCAAAATAAATTCAAATGTTGACGGTAGCATTCTAAGTTATAAAAGTGTAATGCAAGTTAATTATACAAAATTATGCATTTTTAGGTATACATTTATAACAGTATATTGTAAGAAAATATATATAATGACAATATACATACCGAAAGTGAGATTGGAACTGCATGCTATTGAGTAAGGGAATTACAAATTCCACATATCCTTCTATTTTGCGAATTTGTTGAGGATTGCTTCTCAAAGCTTCTATTTGATCTATTATTATTTGTAGATCTATATTTTCATCATTATAAATATAATGTAGAGATTCTTGAAAAATTTTGGCTATACAAATTATGGCCACGTTCGTCTCCATATTAATAATCAATACTATTATTAATGTTCATCAATACTGTTATTAATATTAATATTAAGGTTATGTTTTTAATGTCTTCTTAAGACTATTATATTCTTACGCTTTGCATTGATCCACTTGTGTAGCGTTGGCAATGTCAGTAGCGCTAACGGATCACTCTATCGGAAGTATTTGTAGCAAGTTTATTTGAAACATTTGAAGCGTCTAACGGATTGCACCCTAGGTCAATCGTGACTTGCTGCCACGGCGCGGTGACGTTTGCGCGTGGGCGCGTCCGGCAAGCTTGCCTTGGTATGGTTTATGAGCGAGACAATTTTCGCAATTCCGTACGTAGCGGGCGATGTCGCGAAACATCCCGGGCCAGTAATATCGCCTTGTAATACGGTGAATCGTTTTCGCCATGCCTAGATGTCCGGCGGTCGGTTCGTTGTGGAATCGGCGCATGACCCCCTCTCGTTCTGAGCGAGGAAGACAGCGTTTCCACTGCTCGTGTTCGGTGTGATCGCGGAATTCTAGATCATGTCGGAGATGGCGGTAAAGCTTTCCCCCTCGTACGGCGTAGTCGGGATAGCTTTTCGGTTCCTTCTTAATCTTCTTCAAGAGGCCGCGATACCAGCCGCAACTCGCTGATTGGACGGCGCATGCTTCCGGTTCCCGGGAAAATGCGTCGGTAACTTTGTTTAACGCTCCGCGGCGGTATCGAATGTCGAAGCTGTATTGTTGTAGCTCGAAGAGCCAACGCCCGAGTCGGCCGGTGGGAGTCTCTAGGCTCTTCAGCCACCGAAGCGACTGGTGATCGATGATTACCGTGAATGAGTATCCCTCTAGGTAATCCCGCATCCGGCGGATCCCTCAGACGACTACGAGGCATTCTAGCTCGGTCGCGCTGTAATTCTTTTCGGCCGGATTTAACGTGCGGCTTGCGTATGCTATTACCCATTCGCCTTCGGCGAAATCTTGCGTCAGGACGGCCCCGAGACCGTACGCGCTTGCATCTGTTTGTAACACAAACGGCAGCCGGAAGTCGGAGCAGGCGAGCACGGGCGCGGTAACGAGCGCGTTCTTGAGCGCGCTGAAGACGCCCTCTTCCTCCGGTCCCCATTGCCAGCGCGCGTTCTTCCGTGTTAGCTTTGTGAGCGGTGCGGATATAGCAGAGAAATTTTCACGAAACGGCGGTACCACGAGGCCATGCCGAGAAACTGGCGTACTTTGCGAATGGTGGTCGGAGCCGGCCATTGAGATACGGCGCTTAATTTTGCGGGATCCGTGTGGATGCCTTCTCGCGTAATGACGTGGCCGAGGTACGTGAGCTCGGTCCGGCAGAAATGGCATTTTTCGGGGTTTAGGCGTAGTCTTGCTTCCCGAAGACGTCGGAAGACCTCGGCTAGATGCTGCAAGTGTTCACTAAACGTAGCACTTGCAACAATCGCGTCGTCGAGGTAGATAAATACGTTGGGCTCCAGCGAGGAGCCCAACACGGTATCGAGCAACCGCTGAAAGGTCGCTGGGGCGGAGTGCAACCCGAATGGCATCACTTGGAATTACATTAACCCCTTCCCGGGAACGGTGAACGCGGTGATTGACCAGCTTGCGGGTGTTAATGGCACTTGCCAGTACCCGCTCTTGAGGTCGAGTGTGGCCAATGTGGCCGTAATGTGCGGGAGAAGGTACGCGTCGCGCTCGGTTACGGCGTTGACTTTTCGAAAGTCTATACAGAAACAGGGCTTGCCGTCTTTCTTCTTCACAATTACGACCGGCGAGCTCCATGCGCTTTGTGACGGTTCGATCACCCCCTTCCGTTCCATTTCTTCGACGACCTCGTTTATTATGGCTGCGTTCCCATTTCGTCTCACTCAGTGCAGTATCCAGTGGCCGCCATTTTGCTGGATACTGCACTGGAGAAGCGTTCCCAAATTACTGGACTGGCTAGTGGCTAGTGACAGCCTCGCACACATATTAGCTCATAACCTAAATAAAATTGTTAGTTAATATGTAAATAGTGTTGAAGCAATTATTGTTAGTAAAGATTATTATATCGGTAAGTAAATATTTTAATTAGCAATGTATTAATAAGTGTTAGCGTTATTTTTAAATATTATAACGACGATTATACCGATTATTTGCTTGTATAACTTCACATTTAAAAACAATAAATTATTGTATATAATGTTTATTGTATATAATTATTGTACATAATTTTATTTTTTCAGTACACATTGATTTTTTTATTATTATTATTATCATTATTATTATTATTTATTATTTACATTTCCCGGCCGACGACATTCTGAACGAGGTACGATTGTCACTAGTCAGTCCAGTAATTTGGGAACGCTTCTCCAGTGCAGTATCCAGCAAAATGGCGGCCACTGGATACTGCACTGAGTGAGACAAAATGGGAACGCAGTCAACGCCTTGCATTGGCCGGGTTGCGGGGGCGGTATCGCTGCTTGATTGGCCGCGGGTCAGTTAGTCGGAGGTGATGTTCCACGCGATTGGTGGGTCCGGTGACGTTTTGAAAGAGCGCGAGTTTCCGCTTCAGGAAAGTGTGTAATTGCCGCGTTTCGGCGTCGGTGCGCGGCGTTAGGCCGTCAGATATGGTGCCGGTGCGGCCGGACGTTGGCGCAAGTGTCGGTAATGGTGAGGGCGGAAGAACGACTAGGTAGACCCACAAGTCTACCTCTATCAACATTTCGCTCCCGAGCGCTGAAAAAAACCTGGAAATCGTGGAAGAATTTCCTCCCTCCCAGGCCGATCTCCAGCTTGTAGTTTTCCGTAATAGGGGCAGATCCGCCGTCAGCTACCGTGACCAGTGCTGCCAGAAACAAGCGGCAGCACCACACAAATACAACCGAGAACCGATGACGTCACCCTATCCGTATGAGCTCGACCCGGTCGACCAATGGAAGAGAACGCACGTCTCCCTTCCACCGAGCCGACGCAACAAACGATAAATGCTAAGAAGTAAGTGTTTCTAAGGCAAGTGGCTGGAATATAAAAAATCCCGTGTTCGAGATTTGCTTTTCGTAACTTTCTTTTCTTTTTTCCGCATTTGTTTCTAACAGTGTAAATTATCAAATAATCTTTTTTTTGCTCAAAAAATAATAGTTTATATTTATTAATAATATTCGCATATGTTAAAACTAACAATTTTTGAAATAATTCAGATTTGCTATTGTCAATAGAAAAATGAAGTTATTTTATAATATTGCAACAAAGTGTAAATTTAACATATGCTATGTTCTTGCCACTCGCCTTATTCGTTTAGCCATGCTTGCTTTGACATTTATGTCTATCGACTCGAAAGATTTTACATACCTGTAAAACTTTTAATTATTTCCCAACTTACAATTAGTCACTCGCGTCCTGATATTTTTTCTCTTATTCAATAATTTTCTATTCGTACATTCGGAGAATCCGAATAGTGAGATCAATAATGTACTTAATTTTCGTACACTCTAGTATTTCAATCTGAGATCGGTGTACATTTTAACGTCTCAAATGTAGACGAATTATTTCTATATAAAAAATAATTAAAATTTTTACACCAACAATCTATGATATATGCTCCATATGCCATATTATATTTTATTTCACTTTTAATCATTTATTTTCATTTATTTTCATTATTCAGTACAGCGCATATTACATGATAATCAATTTCACGCGTATCATTTTACGAAAGTGCAAAATTTGTTGCCTCAAGATTATATATCAAGAGTAAGATTTTGTACATGGTTGTTAAATAACGAAGAAAATCAACCTGGTTTTGTGAGTAACATCCTATTTACTGATGAATCATGTTTCACGCGCGATGGAATATTTAATACACACAATACACACATCTGGGCAAACGAAAATCCACATGGATATCATATTAAAAGTTACCAGCATCGATTCACCATTAATTTATGGACTGGTATATTAAACACTTCGATAGTGAGTTTTTACAATTTTGTACAAAAAATGTTTAAAGTTCCACGAACTTTATTTCTCACGTAACCATTTTCAGATTGGTCCGTTTGAAATGCCTGCGAGACTCACAGGACAATTTTTATAGCAATTTCTTGCAGATTTATTAGAATTATTGGAGAATGTGCCGCTAAATCAAAGATTAGAAATGTTTTTCTAACATGACGGAGCGCCGCCTCACGCATCTATACGCGCGCGTCGTGTATTGGATGCGAGCTATCCGGATAGATGGATAGGCCGCGGAGGTGCTGTTAATTGGCCAGCGAGATCTCCAGATCTAACTCCGTTAGACTTTTTTCTTTGGAGCACAATAAAAGAATATGTTTATCGAGAACGGATTAACAATTATGAAGAATTAAAAGAAAAAGTAACTGAGGCATTCGCTATGTCACACCGGAAATGCTGCATAACGCGCAGCAAAGCTTAATTAGACGTGCACAATTGTGCATCCAATGCGATGGTGGACATTTTGAACATCTTTTGTAATAGGTACGTAACATTAATTTTTTCATTAAACTTTTAATACGAGTTAGCACATTTTTTGCAGTTGATGTGTGAACTCAATTCGCGGACACTTATAGCCGGGTGTATTGTTTACGGTTTGCAAGACCACTTCTTTATTCGATACTGTACGAGCGTGACGTTCAACGGCAACATTGATTCGTCTGTTGGGCACTACAATCCTGTTCCTCGCATCCGATGCAGCAGTCGCAAAATTATGTTGTAACTTGTAACATGGGTTTAACCCATGTTACTACTAGCGCGATTGGCCGCAACGATCGTCCGCGCATCGAGCCGCCGGCCGCAACACGTCATCGGAATGCGGCCGACGAGTGGGGCGAGCGGGTATATAAGGCCGTCGATCCGGCCAGTAGAGACCTTCCGAGCCATCAGGGCGCACTCTGACTTGGCTCTTCCTTTCCTAAAGGAGCAGGGAGCACTCTGTCTCCGCCGGGCGCACTCGGCATCCGTTCACCGTTCACCGTCCGTCTCAAGGCAGGGAGCACTCTGTCTTCGTCGGGAGCACTCGACGTCCCGTATATACCGTCCGTTCCTCCGTAGGATTAAGTAGTATTTAGTTTGCGCTTCCTAGCTTAGATTTTCTGGTTTGTATTCTTTAGTTTATACTTTTCTAGTTTATTTTTCCGCTAGCATGTATTCTTTCTAGCTTGTATTAAATAGTTTATATTCTTTCGCGGTAGATACCGGTCTCACTCTTGCGTTACCAACGTGCGTTACCGCTATAAACTTTCCTCGCGCTCTCGCTTGCACGCCGCTTTCGCTTGCATTAATAGACTACCGCTTGCTCTTAATAATTATTTTGTGAAATGTATCACTAACCATTTACATAAGAATATATTTATTTTTACCTCCTAATTTGGTCTAAGTTAATTGGAGTCTCCCCGTCTGACCGCTTGTCCCGAATCCTGGCACCGGCGAGCTATTCCGCGCTTAGCAATAAGACCGCGAGATAAAAACGCACCGTTACAAATTAATCATTTTACGTTCCGGATAACGATAATGTTATATCTTGTTCTTATTTCATTGTTATTATTTTTCATTGTTGTTATTTCAGTATTTTTATTGTTGATATGTGTTAATAAATGAACAAAAAACACTTTTATTTAAAAAAAAATTAGTTTCTTTTCTTACCGACATTTCTTACCGACATTTCATGTAGCAGATCATACTTCGTTCCGATAGTATTGTTTTTCTCTCATGACATGAGAAACGTCATTTGTCAATGGCACGACTGCTTTGACAGTTCGACGCGCATCGCGTTTTAATACAATTTAGAAATTATTATCGTTAGTAAATTCGTCAGTATTGCGAACAAATGTGAATAAAGTGAATAAAGTGAATAAGAACTGAGTGAAGTGAATAAAACGTATTGAATAAAGTGTTGTGCAAGGGTCCTTTCGAGATACGATGTCCCTGAGCGCGCGAAATTCTGACAAGCTGATTGGTAAGCTTTAAACCTTTCCCATTCAAATACTATAGTAGCCTCGACATTGTGGCATTAAGATTTTCGTCTCCAAATGACCCCAGGAATCTGCTATTAACGGGTGATACGGTAAGTCTGGGACACCCTGTATAACATAAAATATTGTCACACACACAGTATATGAAAATTCAGTACTCATTGCATTAATATTTTGCAGATGCATTTTTCAGAAGACATGTGGGAAAAGCCTCGTGCAGATGGAAAGCGGAAATTGAAGCACAATGCAGTACCAACAATGTTTTTGCCACAAAAAAATAGCACCTCAGCAGAAGTAAATAATCAACATATCAATTTCTGTCTTTTTGATATGAATCTTTTTCGCTTTTTTGTTTTTTTTTTGCCAAAAGCATATTTTTTAATGCACATATAGATCAGAAAATAAACTTTTCATATATTTGCAGATTAAAGCAACTCAATCAATGTTAAATATTTCTCCGGATAGAACATATTGTCAACTAGAAAAGAATCAGTTTGACTCAAATAATTTAAATACATTCATCAAAACAGATTCTAAAATAGAGTCTACTATTAATAGTACTTTAGAACAACCAGCACTGCTAAAAAATACCTTCGAACAGTTTACAGAAGTGGAAGTAGAATCAACAACACAAAGCACATCAGAATTATCTGATGTGCTTTGTGTTGTGAGGTGATGTGAGGTGATTCCATGTGAGCAGGAGATGAAAAATAGTCTTATTAAAAAACTAAAAGAAGCTGAATCAAACGCTCGACAAGCTAAATTAGAGGCAGAAGAAACTAACCAAAAACTTCAACAAGCAAATGTAGTTCTCTGTAGAATGAACAAATCCAGACAAATGCTGAAAAAACACATAAGAAGATTGATTGATGAAAAGAAGAAGGTTGCAGAAGATAACTTAAAACTAAAATTATTAGTCAAATCAAAAAACATATTTAACGACGATCAAATCCAAGTTCTCGCTGGTCGAAAATCACGCAATAGCAAATGGTCAAATAGCACAATTATGAAAGCTCTTCGATTAAAGTTTTCATGTGGAAGTAGCGGTTATAACAAATTATTTAACAAATTATTTAACAACAAATTCCTTTGCCATCAGAACGTACTTTGCGAAGAAAAAAAGAGGGTGTCGATTTTCAGGAAGGAATATTAGATGAAGTATTCGATATTTTGCAAAAGCAGGTATCTCGATTCAAAGATGCTCACGAGAAAGATGCCGCAATAGCTCTTGATGAAATGAGTTTGGTTTTTGATGAACAGTTTGATCCATCTACTCACTCACGTACTGGTTATGCTAGTATTCCTGACAGTTGTGGTAAATTACTTTTCTAAAAACCTTTAATACCAAACTCCGATTAACTTAATCTAAAATTTTACATGCGAACTGAATGCATTATGACTTATTTTTGCATTGCATAAATATAATAATGTGCATTTTATTTCTGTATATTTCAACAATACTTAAGACAATCTTAAATATAAGAAGCAACTATAAATACTGCTTTTAAAGTCATCTTTTAGAAATATGTGCTGTATGAGTTTGCATGTTAATTTTTTGTGTATTTTTAAAAATGTTTTGCGTTTTCTAGCAAAGAGTGATGGCAAAAAGACTTGTTTTTTAGCCAATTTTTTGGACCTCGAATTTCAAACTTTTTTTTATGCCAAATAGTACTGTATGATGGAACATTAATCCCAGAGAAATTTTAAGATGAGTATAAGCGCGGTTCCGGAGATATAAAGGGTTGAAAGTGATGATTTCTCATAATCCATGGAAGTACACGAAACTCTTTAAGTATCCATACCAAGG